TGCCCTCGTTCAGCGAGGGGAGGGCGCGAAAATGGCTGCCAGACCCCGGAAGCATCGCTGAACGGTGAGTTTTCAGACGATTTGGAACGCATTAAACGATGTTTAATGCGTTCCAATGGGCTTTTCTGCCCCGCTCAGCGATGTTTCACACAGCGAGGGTTAATCCGGGACGGATTAACCCTCACTGTGCAAGGCACCACTGTATTGCATAATTTATCCTGGTTCTGCTAGTTCTTTGTTTCAGAAGATGAAAACAAGAAAAGAAAAAGAAGAAAGTAAACCATGTTTCTTACAATAGATCTGTGCAAAGAAGTATTTAAGGTATTTTATTGTGTTTTAACACAGAAGTAAAATTCATCTGTAAGTTGCAGTATCAGGGTACTGTCTTATTGATATTTCAGTGAAATAAAACCATGTCTGTACGTCCAAGACATATGACTAAAGGCACAATTTAGTTACTGAAAAGACTATCAGTTTACCAGAATCCTCCAACTAGGAAACACTCATTTCAAGTGAAAATTGAGGATGCTAATATGTGCAGAACTCTAATGTTTTGACTAGAGAATAATGTCTGAATGTGTATCTCCACAAAATAAATTTCACATTTAAATCTCTCATATTAAGAACAGTCTTAAAAACAGGTGCTTGCCTTTTATCAACAGGATATTTTAAGTGTTCAAATGTACATATGCAAAATAACCTTATAAGGTTGATCAGAGGCAGCAAAAGAGCAAGGGTAGTTTTAGATTTAATCATAAGCAGTTTACATTCATTCCTTTCACACATTAAAGGCCCTCAGAAAAAAAGCATCTGTGTGTGAAGATACAATACAAATAAAATGTTCACATATTGGAACTCACCCAAGCCGCTTTGGGTCCCTTGTTGGGAGAAATGCGGCATATAAATAAAACTAATGATAATAATAATAATAATAATCATTATCAGCATAATTCATTGTTTTTAATAAGTTAGAGTTAAACGTTTTTAAAGAAAGAAAATCAAATAGCTGCTGTTTTACTGTTAAATTTCTCTGCTTTCAAACTTTTAAGCAAATGAAATTAGTATGGGATTATTCTAATTGAAGATTCGATTGGACTACACGTTTCTATTCTGTTTCCATGGCAACATTCATTTCAACTAAAGTAGATGCTTCTGTATTACTCATTATTACTAAAATTCAATTTTAATGTTGAATTAAAAAGAGACTGTGGGAAGGATTCATCAACTACAACTAATTACTCCAGAAAATAGCATTTTAAAATTCACCTAATTAAAATTTCATTCATGTCAAACTACTAAATGCTAAAATGGTGTCACCACTTATTTCATTGTCAATACGCTTGAGGTAGTGATTTCAATGGCTATAGCTTTAAGGAGCTGTTGGAAGCCGTCTCAAGAGCTTAGTTGAAGGGAAAATGATGCATCAGTAAAATACAAAAAGTAGTAAAACAAATGAACAGGAAACACATGAAAAAACAGATTGGATGCCTTGCATAATAAATTTCTTGAAGTGTATATTTTAGCAGTGCAGTAACAAATAATTGTTTGCATCCAACATTCCCTGTGCTAGAAAACACATGGCCTTCCAGATGTTAAAGGTAAAGGTTTAGTCCAGTCGTGTCCGACTGGACCCATTTCCAAGCCACAGAGCCAGCGTTTGTCCAAAGACAGTTTCCGTGGTCACGTGGCCAGCGCGACTAGACACGGAACACCATTACCTTCCCACCGAGGTGGTACCTATTTATCTACTTGCATTTGCATGTTTTCAAACTGCTAGGTTAGAAGGAGCTGGGACAAGCGACGGGAACTCACTCTGTTGCGTGGATTCGATCTTATGACTGCTGGTCTTCTGACCTGGCAGCACAGAGGCTTCTGTGGTTTAACCCGCAGCACCACCACAATGTTACTGGACTACAAATCCCATCAGCCCTAGCCAGGATAAGAAATGTTGAGGGATAACAGGAGCTACAATCCAATAATTTCCAAAAGGCCACACTTTCTTTGCTCTAGAACAGTGGTTCCCAACCTTGAGTCCCCAGATGTTCTTGAACAAAAACTCCCAGAAGCCTTCACCATTAGCTGTGCTGGTCAGGATTTCAAGCCGGCACTGCTAGGGGTGAACTGGTGGTTTGTGCCCATCTCTACTTAGAAATTATTATTACACCCTGCAAAAGTAGGCCAGTAATGGTATCTTCATGCTCCACATGAGAAAGAATAGACAGAGTTAAGAAACAGCTGGCCCAAGGCAAATCAGCTCTTGGCAGGACTAAGATGTAAACTAAGAGCTTTCAACTCATGACAGCAACTGTAAGCATGGACTAGATTCTGTGATATATGAGAAGATTTTTATTCTCCTCTGACCTTGTCATAGGGGCAGTAAGGAGACTGCAAAGAAAGAACCTACCATAGTGTAATTGTGGGCCACTTTATGCAAATCTGTGCAACCTTGCGCATCAGCAAAGGAGCGGATTCCAAGGCAATTGGATGGATGAAGTTGCTTCATTAAGAACTTGCAGCAGGCTTCTACAACCTGAGAGAGCTGGAGAATACAGGCTGTAGATAACAGGCATTCAATATTATCTTCTTTTAATTCAAGGCGACCTAAGTAGTTAGAAAAGGTATTAATTCTCTAAGAAAGAATATGACATAAGAGCTTTGCTTGGTGACACACAGTCCATCCAGACCAAGTCATCTTTTTGCCTAGAGTAGGCAGAAAAATGCTTCCAGAAAGACCACAAATTAGCACAGAAGAAACACCTATCCTGTTCCTCTTCAACCATTTGGCATTCAAAGGTGCTTCATCACCTAACAACAATCATGGCTAATAGTAATTGACAAGTATATCTTCTGTGAACTGGTAAACTCATTTTAATGTAATCTAAAGAACGGCTCATACCATATTTGCAGCTCTGAATTATGTAATTTCTTTGCCTATATCTCCTGTGATATTTCATCAATTTCATCTCAGAATTTGGAAATAAATAATAAACCATCCTGGTTTAGACCCAAACTAGACAGTTGAACCTGGCTCCCAGTGAAATCTATAGGATAAGATAGTAATCACTGAAATCATACTGATTTCAATTTGAATTAAGTACAGCTAGCTTAACCAGAAGCCATTCTGTTCTCTCTCCACACTACTGGGGATACGATAGAACTCCCAAAGGCAGACAAGCAGAGATGGTGTGGTGCCAAGAAAAGGGAAGCCTGAAAATGTGAAGTAATCAATCAACACAACTAGTGTTTTCAAATACATCTACCGTGTTTTCCCGAAAAGAAGACAGGGTCTTATATTAATTTTTGTTCCAAAAATGCATTAGATCTTATTTTCAGGGGATGTTTTATTTTACAACCATGTCATCTTATCGTTGCTGCACAATGGTAGAGGGCAGGGTTTCACTTAACTGGGGCTTATTTTTGGGGTAGGGCTTATATTACGAGCATCCCTACTAGGGCTTATTTTCAGGTTAGGTCTTATTTCTGGGGAAACAGGGTATCTGATTTTTCTCTCTATGTCAAATTGGCATGCAAATGACTTTGTCTGCTGTGAGGTTTTATCAGTGAGTCAACAGCTGATAGATAAAAAGTTTCCCTTGCTTGCCAAAGTCCTCTTTTTTCTAAACAAAGAAAGCTGCACATGCATTAGGATGTTTTTGCCTGTAACTTCATGTTCTGCACTTTCCAGTTATGGAGTAAAAATGAATTTATCTTTTCATAACCAGCCGGTGAGCGCTGGGGATTTTGCTCACAGTAAATGCAACAGATACAAAAGTTTAGCTATGTTTTCTTGTCACACCCAAATTTGGAATCTATTGTTGAGTGAAAATATCCTGGTTTATTCAGTATCTTCTGCAAAGACGGAGGAACAAGGAAGCTGCCTGCAAAGATGTGAAACTCATTTTTATATTTTTATGTCAGCATATAATCATCCAAATGCAGACACTAGATAGTTTTCATTGCACTATTTATGCTGATGAGTAACCTCTGTTCTAGTGCATCACAGTCAGTTCAGTAACAAGAATAATATACACATAAAGAAGTGATCACATTTCACCTTTTAGGCAAAAGAGCTGGAAAGGATGGAGAACCTGCAACTTGCATGTGTGAACTGGTCTTCAAATTCTGGATATAAGGACAGAATTTAGCATCTGTTCACCACAGCTTATCATACAACTTCACTAGCCACTTTCATTACCTGTATATGCATATTGCACCAAAGCCCATAACGCATTTGGGTCCACACCTTCCATTTTAATTTCTTCTTGCCTTGCCTCTCTTACATCATTAGTAAACATGGCTGCAAAGTAGTCTGAGACAGAAGACAACACCAATCTGGAAAAGGGGACAAAAGGGATGACAGTCAATCTATCATACACCCCTTTACCCTTTGAAGGGACAATGGTGTGAATTCGGTAAACTGTTTCTTAAAACCAAATATCTGTATGATGTAATGGCCACAATCCAATTGAATATTTCTGCTGTTATGAGCATAATGGCGTTATCTGGCGAAGTGAACAGCCACTTATTAATGATTCCCAGACCGAATTCCTAGTTCAGTGCCATCTATGTTACTCGACATGACTAGGATATCAATTAGATTAATTAGCAGCTACACACTATTGCAAGCTATGCCAGTGCACTTATGTATGCATTAATATTCAATCAGATTCTGGCCACTGTTTCTGAATTTTTTTTCAATTTACAGTGTAAGAGTACACAGAAAACTACATGAACAAAGTTTAACAAAATTTCTCATATTATCAAAAAAAGAAAGAAAAAGGAAGAAAGAAAGAAAGAAAGAAAGAAAAGAAAAGAAAAGAAAAGAAAAGGGGGGGGAATAAATCTGAGGTGGATGTTGGCATTCTCATCCAGAAGTGGTAATAAGAAACACAGGGTCTGTGAAGTTTTTGTGAATGATGGCATTTGCTACAATTAAGTAGCTGAAATCTGGCATACAGCTTGAAATCCTGTTGCCAGTCACAGATAACCAGAGTAGGCCCACTGAATCCATAGATCTTACAGAGGAGCTGACTCACCAAATCCCTGTTGATTCAATGGGTCTACTCTACTTGTAACTTACTGCACTAAGCAATAGGATTTCAGTCATAGAATCTATGGGGAAGTGGAATCAGTGGCAAAAAGTTGCAGTATGGAATGTTTTTTATCTAAGATTCTTTCCCACTGCCACCTCCCAAAAGGTTGACAGTATTCATCGTCTAGTCTTGTCCGACTCTTCGTGACTCCATGGACCAGAGCACGCCAGGCCCTCCTATCTTCCACTGCCTCCCGTAGTTGTGTCAAATTCATCTTGGTTGCTTCGATGACACTGTCCAACCATCTCATCCTCTGTCGTCCCCTTCTCCTCTTGCCTTCACACTTTGACAGTATTCAGTAGTTGCTAAATGCAACTCAGAGGTTAATTCTGAAGTTTTTTGGGGGGCAGGGGAGAGTGGGGGGGTACTTTTACAAACCCCAGGATTCCTTCAAACCTGCTGGCACCTCCTTCTTGTACATGCATTGGTGGTACTGCTTTGGCTGCATAAACAACAGCACTTACATGTTAAACATCAGAAACAGAGGAAATGGTTTGCTATTAGAGACAAAGATAACAAAAAAGCTAAAGTATAGTTGAGACACATTTATAAGTACTGTACATGATGTAGCTAGCATTCATTTTCACCACCAACAGTGGAATCTTGAGAAACTGGTAGAAAAGACAGCAAAGCTACAGTTTTTACAATATTTTGATTTAGGAGCAAGCTTTTTGTGCTTAATAGCAGCTTTAAAAAAAGCAGCTAGCTTTTTTGAAACTAATTTGACCCAACTCCGGGAAACAGTGGAAGACAGGAGGGCCTGGTGTGCTCTGGTCCATGGGGTCACGAAGAGTCAGACACAACTAAACAACTAAAAAACAACAAAAAATCTTAAGGGTCAATAGCAGGGTAGACAACTTTGGTGGGTCTGGGTGCTTATTTTTGGCCCTCCAGAGCCACACAAACTACCAGCAATGCTGAAAGACACAAACATGAGACAAAAAATGAATTGAAGTCCACTTCCAGTTCTGAAATGATGGCATTTTATGATGTTGGAGGGGCTGCAATCTGTTTAAATTGCCATTCTTAGGGGGCTTCCAGGAGCTGCAATTCACTTTTTTTTTTTAATCAGAAAAAGAGTGAAGGGCTTGGTTGTGAAATCAGCCTTGGTGGGCTGCACTTTGCCCACTCCTGGTCAATATGCATATTTACCTGTGAGCTGGAATCCGGCGATCACCGGCAACTAATACCACATCACACAATTGCTTGTGCCTCAAATAGTTTTCCATCTTTTTAAAGGTTTGTTCAGCATGATTAAGTGCTTGAAAAAATTCATCAGCTGTACAAGGTTCCATCGTATGATATGATGACAGCGTCTGGCTGCTACTGGAAGTCCTGGAAGGAAAATACATATACATTGAAAACTCGACATACTCAATTTTGCCTATGAAAATAAATTTGAAAAGGTGTTTTAAGCATTTCAGGGGGAAAAACACAGACGACCTCTATAAAGTTTTTCCAAGTTCAGAATCTCAAATACAGTGTGACTCTGATCTGATCTGACGTTCTACTACTCAGCCATATAAAAAAGCTTTTAAACATTAAGTAAAAAATATGTGATTTTTAAATGGGGGTGGGTTATAGGTGGGAGGGCATTTCACCACTTTTCAACCTTTCATATCTTACATTAAATCTATCAATATATTAAAGAACCTGGATCCGAATGTGACAGAAAAAATAAGCCCAACTTTCCATGAAAACTACGTATATGTTTATACATATTCTTTTAATGTTTTTATCATTTATTGTAAGCTTTCAGGACATATTTCATTAGACAACTTGCAGAAGGACTGGGGGAATTGCTGGATAATGAATTTTTATTCAGTATAAAAAACCCTGCTCTCGCCTAGGCTACTTTAATGTCCCACCAGTGGTATGCACACACCTTGGTCAGAGGCCCTAGTTTAGACAACAAACAGCTTTTCCAACCCATATGTATTATTCAGTTTTAATTTCCAAATGGTACTCGGTAAATGGAACGATATAATTTGTTACACTGAAAATTAAAAATTTCAAGGCCTTTTAATTTTTTTATATTTTTATCTGATTGTTATCATTTTTGGATAGTTCTACTATGTGAGTTGTCCTAAGAATTTTTTAAGAGTGACATATACAGTAAACAATGTACATAAATAACCAAGGAAGAACACAGAATGATTTTTAAATTATAGGGAAGTACTTTAAAATATCTAAAAACAAATTAGTGTATCTGGATAAAGGTTTCTTTACATCGTAACATATATTTTACAGATTTTCTGACAGGAATGTGTAGAATAGAAACAACTCAATTGGACACATACCCAAAAGACAAGCATCATTTTATTAGCTGCAGATATCTCTCCAAAGTTAATCAGAGCACCACTCTAATGAACATTTTGCGCCTGGGAAAGTGGTTAATTGTTCAGCAAAGATGCAATTAATGGCAGTGGCATTTATATGATCATAATTAAGTTTCAAATTTAACAGCCCATTAAGAAGATATATAGGTGGATGGAAGAAGCAAATCAGCCGTGACCTCTAGCTTACTGTCCGATGCTAGCTAGAAGTAGAGCAGCAGGGCTCAATTATTATTAAGACTACAGCCAGTATATTCAGGGGATCACATTTGTTTCATTCCAAAGGACAGAAGTACCTTTCACATGTTGCTGATTAGACAAAATTAGGGACTGAAGCTATTTCACCTATACTGCCTGCTTGAAATGAATTTCCCCAGCTATATGACAGCTGGGGAAATGAGCCATTCTCCTTCTCTTCCAGACACCACATACAATTTCTTCTCTCTGGAAGAAACAGTATGTGCATCCACTATCCACCAGGTGGTGGCCTTTCTCTCTCTTTTGAGAACATATGCCAGGATCTAAAGCAGCTTTTCTCCAATATGGCAGGCCCTTGGCAAATGTGATGGACTATAATTCCCAGCATCCAGTGCTCATGCTGTTTGGCAATGATGAGGGTTGTGGTCTACCACATCTGCAAGGCAGCAGCTTAGAGAAGGTGGACTTAAATAACCACATTATATGCCCATTTTTATGTGTGCCAAACACAGCTTCCAGCTCTGATCCTCTCCAGAGAAGCCCCTGCAGAATTTGAGAAAAATTCCTCAAAACTTACCATATTTTTTGCTCCATAAGACGCACCTCTCCATAAGATGCACCAATTTTTTAGAAGAAAACAGGAAAATAATCTGTTTTCTTCTCCTAAAAATTTGGTGAGCCGTATGGAGAGGTCCATCTTATGGAACACACCCTAGGACCCTTGTGAGGCTCCCTCCACCCCCACGGGGCCAGCAGGGGTGAAATCGCCAGCTTCGCTCCATAAGATGCACCAATTTTTTAGAAGAAAACAGGAAAATAATCTGTTTTCTTCTCCTAAAAATTTGGTGAGCCGTATGGAGAGGTCCATCTTATGGAACACACCCTAGGACCCTTGTGAGGCTCCCTCCACCCCCACGGGGCCAGCAGGGGTGAAATCGCCAGCTTCGCTCCATAAGATGCACCAATTTTTTAGAAGAAAACAGGAAAATAATCTGTTTTCTTCTCCTAAAAATTTGGTGAGCCGTATGGAGAGGTCCATCTTATGGAACACACCCTAGGACCCTTGTGAGGCTCCCTCCACCCCCACGGGGCCAGCAGGGGTGAAATCGCCAGCTTCGCTCCATAAGATGCACAGACTCCCCCCCCTTTTCTGGGGGGGGGAGTGCATCTTATGGAGCAAAAAATACGGTAATGTAGCATTGCTAATATAGCTGACCTGCATTAGAAAGACATTGAGATGCTCCTCAAAAAGCGGCTTCCAGTCATCCTCCTTCCCTCTCTCCCCCTCTACTGTTGTGACATGCCCCAGCCGCATTCTGGCCGCAAGCGCCGGCAGTGTAACTTGAAACTTTGGAATTTCTTTAAAAATAAAAAATTGCACTGGGCCGCATTACGAGCTGACCTGGGCCGCATCCGGCCCTCGGGCCGCAGGTTGGACAAGCCTGCTCTAGATGGAAACTTTGTATTATGCCTGCAACTTCCTGAAGAAACTGCCTTTAAAAGGTTTCTGGCAGTGCAGGAAATTTGATATCCTGCATACTTATGTGTAAAAGCGTAAATAGCACTGTGGTTCACTCTCATCATATTAATGTTTTGTTGATGTTCAGCTGGTGCAACTGCACACCTGATGCTCCAGGAAGAGAAGCCAGACAAAGAAGTCCCTTGCAACAAATATAAAACAAACAGCTGTGAACAGACAGTTCTGAGTTCATGCTTAGTAGTACAAGACTGCACTAAGGCAGTCTTCTGTTCTTTGTCTGGTGCCCTCCAGATGTGTCATATTATATCTTTCATAAGCCCCAGCCAGTTCAGCTCAGCTAGGATAAAAGCAGGGGGAATTTTTTCTCTCCTTTTTCTCCTGATGGTTCTACTGTCAGATCTCAAGTGGTTACAACTGGAGGGAATGAACCCAGTCTGGGCTGCTGTTTATAAGGCAAGTTGATTTAGGATTCAGTAAATCAAAGGAGCCAAATCTGCTTCTGGTAAGGCCTGTGATCACCCTGCATTGATCCTCACAACTAGTACCAGTGTCTGTCCGGCTTTCCCTGGGAATACTAGAGGCCTTTGCGGCAGAGATGATACCCTGTTAGTAGAGCTCCTCTTTAGCCATAGAGGTCATTCTACCCTACCCAACCTCAGGATACTGTATGACTAAACAATGGGGGGGGGAATACACTTGAATCTGCTGTGAGCTGCATTCTTTGAAATCAGGTTTCCGTGTCTGAACTCACTGTAATCATCTGGATAAGCAGTCACCAGGGCCAAAGGCAGAGCTGCAGCTGTAGAAAGCTCCCTAATAGCTGAAGCTGCCTTTCACAAGGAGCCAATCAGCAATTTCCAACTCTTTTTTTTTAAATTTAGTTTTCCCGAAGTGACATAGTGATATGGCATTCCAGAGCTGCCTTGAAAATATTTGAAAAAGAAACACTATTTGCAAACAACAGGCACAAAGTTTAGGGTAACTGACACCACCGCGAGTACCCCTTTGCCTTCAGATCAGTTGATCACAATAGCAGAAAGCAGACAAAGGCAATGTCAACCCAATCTGAGCATATTCAAACCATACCTGCCAGCTGAACAAAAAAATATATACGATTCCCCACGAAAAAGAGATGTCTCCACAATGGGCTTCCCTACACCAAGCTTTACTTTGACTAGTCACTAGATTTTAATTTGAATTATTCTGTGTCAAATGTTTCAAATTGGAGGATAAATGGGCAATGTAGTTATCTCCTCAGATGGTTTTCCAAGGCCATAAAGTTTGGACTATTACTTTTTTTAAGGTTCATGAAAATATAAGGCTTTCTTGGCATTTACTATTTTCTATAAAACAATTTCAGTAGCTCTCTATTTTTAGTATACCAGATGATGTACAGTTTCATAATTTGTACAGTATTTAAAGTAGTAATCAATAAATATGAGATCATAATAGTTTTGCTCACACATGACACCTAATCATTGCTTTTGTGTGACTGAGACTTTTGCTCATACACTATCTTCTCCCTTTACTCGCTGTAAGACAAACCATAGTTTGCTACTATAGCTGTATAAGCAAGTCACAGTTTACACTTGGCCTTCTAAAGAAGGATGCAAAACAGGGTCAGATCTTGAATTACTGTGTCATGTACATAAACTGAGTAATTGCTGTTTCCACTGCTTGGGTGAAGTAAGAAACCATGGTTTGCTGCAAATTAAGGATTAATGAAGTAGAGCACTGGTTCTTAACCTTGGGTTACTCAGGAGTTTTGGACTGCAACTCCCAGAAGCCTTCACCACCAACTGTGCTGGCTGTGGTTTCTGGGAGTTGCAGTTCAAAAACATCTGAGTAACAAAGGTTAAGAACCACTGAAGTAGAGCATGTGGAGCAAGGAGAAAGCGCAAGTATGCAACTATTTTCTTGGCTTCCTAGGCATTATTCACAAACTACACATATGAAGAGATTGCATGCATGCAATTACAATTCCCTGAAGCATTTACAGTTACAACTGACACATTCACCTGGGTAGGTGAAAAGGTATAGGCTGAAATCCAGTAGTAGACAACAACTAGAATATGCTCAGTGAATCAGTGGGGATTTATTTGGTGAGTCAGCTCCTCCATAAGAGCTCCTGATTTATCGGGCCTACTCTGACTGTGACGAACTATTGGATTTCAGCCTAAATTTTCCAAAATAAAAATATTTTAGCTTGAATGCTGGTAAGTCTTATTCTCATACTAATCTGGGAAAATGTGCCTAAATCTTCTGGAACAAGATGCCTGGTCATTGCACAAAATGTAATATTCTCATCAGAATATCTTTGG